ACGTGTACAGGGAGGTTCCTCCGCCCTCCAAAGCCTTCGAGGAAGTCGTTCCTCCACCAGAGAGGCAGTTAAAATGCAAAGGCTCCGGTCTAGCAAGACTAGCGCCACCTATGCACCCTATAGTTCGCAACTGCTTAGTATTCCGCACGGTTACGGCCCTCTTTTCCGCGCCTAGCCGGCCAGCCACCCTCCCACGACAGCCTACTTCGACGTGGCATGTTCTTCACATTAATATAGAGCGGCTTAAGACAAAGGACGATCGGCCAGCATCGCGGTTCTTCCCTTCTCCTGAACAATGTGTGGCGTCATCTAGCTCGTCAGAGCGTATATTTTCGTTAAGTCGAAGCCCTTGGAAGTCCTTCAAATTGGGGGATTTCTCGGTCTCTCCGCTTCTAGACGTGCTGGATTTTGACCTTCCGGAGGCCTCTTTTTTTTTTTTAACAGAGACGCTCTGATAACGACTATCAGGGAGGATTTCACAGTTGACGTGGTAGTTGCAGCGTCTAGACACCTGGTGCTAACAAGGAACATCGCTGAAGTGTCACAAGTTGATTTTAACGAAACTTACGTACGACGTAGCAGTCTAAGGAAATCGAAGGGAAATGAACTTTTTAACGTATCACTTAAACAAGTCGTTTTCATCCCCCAGACGTGGATGATTTCTAATAAAAGAAATCTATGCGTGACAGTTAAACGATGTCCCTTATTAGTCTAAACAGATCTGCAGTAGGTGTTGATAGGTGTCTGTGAGAGTGTACATCGGTAATAAGTTAGGCTAGGTGTGTACGGTTGATAGAAGTGATCAGTGTTGAGCTTAGACAGCCCAGATTGCGAGAATCTTCGTTTCAAGGGTTTAAGATTCAAGTATTTAGGGATCGAGGGTCTTAATGTTTACAGATTTTAGTTCTGAGGATCCAGGATCCACGAACCTAGAATCCAAGTACTCAAGATTCAGGAGATTCTAGAGATTCGGGAGATTTAATTATCTACACTTTTAAAATTAAAAATTGGCGGACCTAGATACCAAAGATCCAGTGCCTAACTATCTTCTTCCAATAGCCACTAACTGACTGCGTGTTCATTTTACCCTAACCAGTTATCACCAAATAAATACACCATGAGTATCTCGTAATCTGCTTTTAAACGCCCATTATCGCCGAGTATCAGAGGAATGCTCTGGTGTGCAGTGAGGAATCGATACTCCAGTGTCTATTTTCGCAACGAAGAAGAGAATTTCGAGTCTAGAAAGCGATCGTGCAAGTTTCATTGCTTCTCGGCCCGCGTTATGCAATCAACACGTGCGTGCAAACTGCACCAGAGGCTGGGCTTAACGATATGCAGACGCGCTCCCTTATTTTTCAGGACCAGTTCTCTCTGGCTAGCTGGTGAGTCATCGGTCTGGACTCATTTTTGCCACAGGTTTAACGACCCCGTTTACCTGTGCTCGCCTCTTCCCCTCTCGTTCTTTCTTGATCGACCCCTTTCCTCGACAATCCACTTTCCAAAGGCTGTCTGGAAATTTCACTCTTCTGAAAATTCCTCGCTACATACGTTCTCGCTTCTTTTCGCAGAAAATTCATCTTTCCGTTTTATTTGAAAAGAAAAAAAAAGAAAACAAAATTGTCGTTAAGACCACATTCCGCGACATTTCATTCAGACCGTGTGCACCACCGATGGCCCACGCTTATATAAAACTGTTATTTTGCTGCTTAAGCAAAAGAGTAAGATTTCTAGGTTATACGTATATATTTAATACCTCTTCTTAATTTCGTCAAGGTTACACGAAAATATCACCCTGCTATAAAATAAAAACCTCGCCGAGTTTCCGATAAGAAAAATAAATCAGTCATTGTCCACTTCTTCCTTTACTTTTAAATATCATTCAATAAAGTGTTCAGAGAATAAAAATGCCCTCGGAAAATCGATTTTTTTTTTATCTATGCAGGTGTACGTAACCTCTTAACCTTTAATACACTGAATTCCAACAGAGGAAAGTTTCATTAGGCATCAGTAATAATTCTGATTGTTTGAATGGATAGTCGATCAATTTTCAATAAATGTATAATTGGTTCGTTAAATATCAAAGACGAAGAGCTCTATGAAGTATTTGGCAGGATTTTCCTTCTCGACATTACTATTACCCATACGCAGTAACGACTTTCTCATTATGGTAGCCTCCTCCTAATCTAGCCTAATCGAATGACAGAGACTGAACTGGTATATTGGGCGGAAAATTCACGAAGAGGCTCGACTGTTCACCAGAAGTTGGTGTTGGAAGTTCCGAGGACGAATTTCCTGTTGGCTACTTAACCTGCACAGACACGTATTTCCCATGCATTTTAAGGATTTCGGACAGCGCTAGGGGGCCCGGTGTTTTGTCGAAGTATGAGCACGTAGTTGTCGTGAAAGGATCATAGAGTGGACTTAGCCGTGGAATCCCGTGTAAAACTTGCTCGGAATAACAAAGTTTTGTCTCGAACCTTACCTCCTCCTCCTCTTTTCACCTCCTACCCGCTTCTAATTCTTTGCCCTCTTCCAGGGGCTGCACGCGATTTATGCTCATGGAAATGACCCTCAATCGACCGCTCCTATTTTTCTTTTTCTTTTTTTTCTTCTCGCAAACTCTGACAAATTTCAGGAGGAGGATCTCTTTCTAAAAAGCGTAACTTTTTCCAATCGTCGTTCTAATTTTTCGAGCGAGATCGATGGACCGTCGACAATGATCTAAAATGGCAGCATTCCCATGGCCTATTGAGGTTAAAACGGAGAAAAGGAGAGGGGCTGCGTTGTGTTTATCCAGAGTTTTTCGGGCAGAACGCGAGGAAAGTTGCGGGAAAAGTTGTGGCCCACCTCCGGGCTGCCGAAACCAGGTCTTTCGTCTCCTCTGGCGTAGGAGCGCCGCCATTGATAAGGATCACTGAGTGGATTTACAACAGGGAAACAGTATTATCGTGGATCGAAACGGACGTTTACTGTATCGTGTTGTATCTCCTGTTTTCGTGATTTTTCTCAAAACTGATAAGAATCGACTGTCAGAAACAAATAGAAAGGCTTGCGACTCTCTTTCGCACCGTCATTGTTAGCCATTTGTGAAGACGATGACTCGTAAAATCGTGCTTCGGTAATTTGATCGTTGAGTTGAGCGTTGAAAATTCAAGAAAATCCGTCAATTTCGAGGACACTGAAATTATTTATGGACCGACAACCGTATTGGAAACTGGAGGAATACGTGAAAATATATACCTGATTATTTTTATGGCCCATATACACAGATGGTAGTCTATCGATACGCGTTTGTATGCACTCCTTATCACAATTTTTATCCACCGGTGACTTCACCGTTATCACTGTACCGTTGTAGTACAAAGAATACGTTCAAACTAATTTTAAACAGAGCGTTAGCGAGCGTCAACCCGTGTCATTATCCTCCACAGAGCTCTGTGTTTTCGGTTACACAACGTTGCGCGTCTCCTCACCCATACACACCGAGTCCTTCACACTCTTTAACTTCGAGATACAAATTCTAACACCGCAAAATCGCTGTAGCTTAGACGTTTCTCGCCCGATACAATTCCATTAACGTCATGCACGGTATGCAAATAGACTTAGAGCTGATTAACGCGATGCACTGGCAGGAAACCGCGTGTACACTTCCGGTCGTGTCACTCCGACGCGTCCGGGTGGTCCATTCGCGACGAAACGCGACACCCGGTATTAACTGCTATTAGGAAGATCCGCCAGATGGTCATTTGTTTTTTGTACTACGATCATCTTTTTCCTACACTGATTGGATACCACGTGTTTGTTGCACAGGGATACACTATAAGCGAGGGTGACGACGGATTGGAATAGATAATGTTGGGACATTGAGTTTCGGCCTGTTGCACCTTGTTTGTTTTGATTTATTAGCTCAACTTTGAGACTCACCAAACAAGATACCACGTTTACGACGAGGCATCAACAGAGTTTAATTTCTAATTCAGCTTAACCTAAAATTAACTTTATCTTGATCTCGGTTACGTTTTGGCTTACTATCTCAGCCGGAGATTAATTCGGGCGATCGTAAGTTAGCCACAGGTTATATTCAGAATGAAATTCCGTATTCGCCAGGTGCGACAGAAAAATTTGTACGACATCCCAGGTCACCTGTAGACGTTCAAAATAACTAGCTTCTGCGAGGAAACAGTTCAGCAATTTTAATCGTTGAACTTACTCGCCCCCCTCCCCTATGGTTTTCGAACTTCCGAACATTTCACAAAAGTCTTCTTGATCCTTCCCAATACCTCACTCGGTTATGACACCAGGCCATAACTATCGAGGAGGAGCATTTTATATTCATTCTCGAATACTCTACTCGTCACGTATAGAACGGTAGGAAATATCAGAGGTTTGTTATTCGTATCGCGGCATAATATCGACGGTTGGCGGTTGCATAAGCTCGTCAGAGCGCGTAACGATACTTTATCTCGGCCAGTGGACCCCCTTGGTGTTGTTCGAACAGAGAGAGAGAGAGAGAGAGAGAGAGAGAGAGAGAGAGACGTCGTTGACCCGCGCGACGTCTGAATCCTGGCCAGCGAATCACGGAGAGGTGGAATGCGCGGTCGATCCTGAATTTATATCGCGTGTTTAGGTGAGAATTGGTTCTTTATGAGCAGCACGTGAGCATACTGCTCGATACACCCGATGGATCTGGCTCGTTACGTACTATGCTACGCGGTTCTCCTCGTTTGTAACGCGGATGTATATTCATGGTGTTCTCTGAATCCTTCAGAGACGTCTGACAACGAACGTTCTACTCAGGAACACGAAGATTAAGCTTTCAGACAGTTAGACTACACCTTGATTTGTTTATTTACAGAACGACGATTTGGTGTTCGACCAGGATGGCAAGCAGATGTTCTCTGAATCCTTCAGAGACGTCTGACAACGAACGTTCTACTCAGGAACACGAAGATTAAGCTTTCAGACAGTTGACTACACCTTGATTTGTTTATTTACAGAACGACGATTTGGTGTTCGACCAGGATGGCAAGCAGTTCTTCGACGAAGCTCCCCTAATCGAGACATATCAACAGCAGTCCCTTCTACGTAGGATAACAAGAGGAATTCTGGACTTTTTCACTCCTTACTCGAGCTCGAGCAATACTACCGAGGCTCCAGGTATTGTACACCTATTTCCATAACGATGACACTTTGAATTCCTCTTTAACACTGTGCCGTATTCGTTCTTTGATAAAAGCTGAAAAAGACGATGCGGACAACGAGGATGAATTTAGGCAGCCAGTCGAACCTGAAGAGTCAGAACCAAAAGTATCTAGTGTCAAGGCTTCAGAGAAGGATGACTGGCTGTCTCATGACAGCAGAGAAGATACGAGGGATGCTGATGAGGTTAGTGGTTAGAAATGCAACACCGAAGAGCTTGCATCACAATTTTCTCTGTTTTTGACAGGATAACGAGATTGGACCCGCTGCAGAAGGTCACAGAGAGCCAAGCAAGTTTGGGAACATGGACGATGAAGACCTGGCGGGGTCTGGAGAGGTCGAGGGTAGTGCTACAGAGACAGATTTCAAGCCTAATAGTTCGCCCAAGGGTGAGATAAGTAAGCATTGATCGATTTGGTTTCACGATTTGATGTTTTTCACCAAGGCTGAGTTAGTTTACCAATCTGAGCATGTTCTTGCGTACTGCAGGGTACTACAGGATAACCCTGACGGTGGTTGAGCCATATAGGAGGGAATACGGGGACAGGAACAGCAAGGAATCTAAGGAACTGAGTGGCAATTTGACGGAGCCTCTGGAACTGTTGCTGAATCGCCATGTCCCCCACGAGGAGCATCATGTGAACGTGATAAAGATATCGTGAGTATTTCGCAAGTATAAAGAACACGGAAATAGAGAATAGATCGGCCAATGTTCTGTTTAGTCGAAGTGACTCAGTCTATAGCTATCCCAGGCACAATAATAATTCCTCTATGCAGGCCAGCAACCGACAACTTCATGTCACTAGTTACTCTAGACATCGGCTCGACGTTCACGGATGAGTTGGAGGTGCAGAACATACTCGAGCTAACGCTGCGCTTGCATTCGTTGGGTAACGTCAAAGTGCGTCCGGAAGGATTCTCGTTCAGAATATTCCAAGGTAAGTTGGAATATATACTGACTACAATCACGTGGGCAGTGATCGATTCCTCCTCGATGGGCTTCGTATTTTTCTCTTCCTGATGTGATGGTTGTGCCTTCAGAATAAAGAATCTATACTGGAAATAAGATGGATGGTTGTTTGGATTCGTCTGGAGGAGTCGGTCCACATTCAGTGTTTTTCTTCAAGATGTTCTACAACAGGTGGAAGGAATTTTACCAAGTGACTTTACAAGGTCAAATAAAGGAAAAATGCTTGTAAAACTACGAGCGTTTAAGCTGGTTGTCACTGTACCAAGCGGGTTGCCAGCGTCTAGGCACCTTTGGGACATATTTTCCCCCACCTGTTATTGAACATCTTGTACACCAGGATGATTTATGCATGTGAAATCCCTTTTTCTCACAAATTAGATCGATGGAATTATTTCCTTTGAATTGTCATCCCTGAGTTTTACGTTCTTTTTTGTTTTATTTCTCTTTGTCTACTCGTCTACACACACTCACACTTGCACGCACGTGAAACGCACGAAGGACCACTCGGGGAACCTGAATGTGATCCATCAACCGAGTTACGCTGTAGAAACGGTGTATGCGTACCATTAGATTCAAGATGCGACGGGATTTCCCAATGTGAGGACGGCTCCGACGAGCAAGACTGTCCCAGTAAGTGAGCAATCAGTGTAGCCAACATATTCTCTGTAAATACACCAAACCTTACTGCATGTTATTTACATTTTGGTTGATCTACCTTACTTTTTTCGTTCACTTGTGAAAGAACATATTAGAGGTCACAGAACTGACGCTTTTGTTCACATCATTTTTTTCTCTTTTTCCTTGTGTTTATTATTTGCACTCATGTCGTTCCGAATCGTTTCTTTCGACAAACCAATCGACAGACGCTAATACAGAGCGTACAGACTTGAAACCCACAACCGACGAGGAAGGTAGCGGAGCTTATGACAACCCTACAGGAACCGACAGGAATAAGTGTCGAGCCGATGACACGGTACGTTGTAGCGATCAAAGTCGCTATATCTGCTCCGTGCAGAAGTGCGACGGCGTTCCAGATTGTGCCGATGGCGGTGACGAAGTTGGTTGTTCTAATTCAGGTATAGGTTTCCACCCTTTCACGCTTTGATGTTGTAAATATGTATATAGATCCATTTCATCTTATTTAGTGACTTGTGACTCTAATAGATAAAGAACTACATTTATAGTCTTGTTTATTCTTATTCTTATTTTTTTCGTGGGTAAATTCCTGCATTTTTGTGTTATCAATCGATAAATGAGTTTTCGTTAATTTTCACAGAATGCAGCACTGGGGAATTCGCCTGCGACGTCTCTAGATGTATTCCGGAGTCCGAGAAGTGCAACTTTGTCAAAGATTGCTCCGATGGGAGCGACGAACACGACTGCAACTATCCTGGTAAGTCGATAATTTTTTTTTTATCATCAACTGGTAGCACCTGCGAAGCGATTGTTTATTCGTAGGATAAGTAGAGAATCTGGTGTGTTTTATTACCGGTGTGTGATAAACGATCCTGAAGAAAATGAGATTAGAATAAAATCTAGACTCTGCTAGGAAAATTATCGATCGTGTACGGAACGTAACTGATAGTCACTTATCGACTGAGTTGCTCAACTGGTATCTCACGTGAGTTTTCTGTATTACGGAGCTGTTTTACCGACGTAGATCCATAAAATTCGCCGACGATTCGACCATGTCGGCCTTAACAGCCCCGTTTTCGGTTCATGACCGACTAATTAGCAGTAGTATCGACGTTGGCTCGTCCCGGAAGCTTGAGCGTCGAAGACGAGCCGGAACGTGCCGATTTTTATACGCGAAAAGAGGGTCAGGTGGGAAGTAGCTGATGAATATTCAAGGCTCGAGGGTTTTTCCCCCGCCCATCTCTGTTTTACCATGCTTCTTTCGCCCTCGAGTGGCGGATGATTATGGTCGACAGCATGGAGGCGGACATGGAAGTCGGCCACGTGGTGCTGGAGCCTCGAACGCGATTTTTTTTTCTTTATTTTTTATCACATTCTTTTCACACGACCTGTACAAGATCTGTTATCGGCATCAGCATGCCAATCTGAGTCAGAATTTTTTTTTCGTCATGCTTGGAAAGGTCATAGAAAGGCACGTGTCATTAGCCACCCACTTGTCGGGAAATTTGTATCGGTTTTTCGAATCGAACCGCGCTTTTTCTCAAGTGGTTAGGTCCATTCCCTCGACAATCGTCAATCACCGCTAAATATGGCGTACTTTTCGTCCGCGAGCTCCAAGAAGATGACGTTTCCCGGGTAGGCGTCCCCCTTTTCAACCCACTTGCAGCTGACGAGCTGATTGTTCTATCCAGAGTGAAAGAAAAAAAGTAGATAACCATTCTTCTGCCTTAAAATTAGCCCCGTAGTGTAGTATAGTATTCGAACAATCAATCGAGGATGCCAGATTAACCTAACCTTCTCATTTCGCCTGACAGTCATCTGCTACAAATACATACATAAGTGGGGAAAGACTGTGTCTTCCGAAGTTTCTCAATCGTGGATGCGACTAATAGACTGGTTAAGAGGCCTAGAAACGCAACAAAGGAAACTACGTTCCCCGTTACAAAGAGGAACAGGTTATCAGAAGTAGGCCAGACCGCGACAGAACAATGAGTCGATGGTTGATCCTTGAAAACCCGATCGTAAATCGAAATGGCGGCGGTTTGGTCTCGTCGTATGTCTTTCGTTTATCTTTTTTTCCTGGTTGGGGGAGACAGGACAGGCCGTTGGCCCGTATAAATATCCACAGACACGCAGCCCGCCGCTTTTACCTGGTTCCAGTAATCGCGATGTGCATGCTTAATCAATATTCAAGTATTCAGCCGCGGCGGGATCATTCTGGCTGTCCGCTCATTACTAGCGATGGGTTTGTATCATTCCGAGAATATTTTTCCAATTCACAAATTTTCTTCGTTAGGTTTGATTAACGACGCGGAATTAAGAAAGTGCGAATTTACGAACGACGTCCAATCTTTCTCACTTCCAGGGACCGTAAGACTTTTTCCCTGACAAATTGAACATATTTTAGGTTATTCTAACTCCATACAGTTAGGTGAACTTAAGTCCAGTCGTTGGATCTACACTTAACTTTGATCGCTAATTTTCGAAAAGAAATTGTACAATTCATAACTCCACTGGATGATCTTCAGTATTCCTACAGGTTTTTCATGTTTTCTCATAATTTCACGATAATTTCGGTTTCTCCGCGGTTGTCAGGTCTGCGGATCTAGAAAAATCAAAATTCCCTAGAATACCGAGAGATCTCGAATCTTCGTCCACGGACTATCAGCATGTTGAATCCATCGCTACTTATGTCTCCAGCCCCCTCTCCCGCGCCTCTGGTGCTCCTGCACAGTGGATAGGAATGCGCATAACCACTTTCGTGTCCCCCATGGTTGCTTCCGCGATATGCCAGCTCGGACGAGGACAATTATGAGTCCTGGTGAGCAGGGTGAACCAACGTTGCAAGCTAGAAACGAGGCTTCAGGAACGTTAACACAGCTGAAGAGAGCGGCGGAACGAAGGGGGGGTTTACGTTAGGCTAGTAGGTGGAACAGCAGCACGCTAGGCACCGCCACGACAAACGTCAACCCCCGCTGTCCCGGGACATTATTCAGGTGCGTCCTCTTCTGACTCTGTATACACGGTGTGCAAAAAAGACGTCACAAGACGATCCCTCGATAAACGCTGCATCATCCTGTCGAACGAATTTCTAAGGGGTCGTGTGTCGACTGTCCCCTTCGGTGAATCGATATAGCCCGTGTAACGGTTAAAGTTCTCTTCACGATCTCAGGATGTTTATTCGAGGGGGAAGAAAAAGTGGCGGTGACACCGAGTGACACCAGGTCGACCAGTCAACGGTTGAATCTTGATAAATTGTTTCTGCTGATATTTTTATGAGATTCTGATCAGTTCGAACGGATTACGGATAGGGTTTTGTTTTTTTTACGATATTTCCATTTTCGTATACTGTTTCAAGAAATTTCCCATCCGTGTGATAGTTTGTCAGATGTAACGTACCGTCGTTCAATTTTCTACTATCAATTTTCCTAATCACGGCGTTAGGTCAGACATCCACTTAACTGCAACTCGTTCGATTGGCAACGTGCTGAGAGATTAGGCTGTGAGACATGGCTTGTTGATCTAACACAGATCCAACCTGTTACATCTGGAACCAGGCACCTTGCCAGCATCAACATCTTCCAATTGTAACTTCTTCAAGGCTGTGTCGACACCCCGGAGGATGATCTCACGTAGAATACACAGCTTCTAATTTTATCGTTGAATAATATACGGTTATTATTTCTCGACCACCCTGTAGAACAGGACCTGGTTGAACGCCTGCCGCAATATGTATCTGTTTAACCAGGATAAATACCGGTATAACGATTAGGGTTTGAAATTCGAGCACGAACTCTTCTTTTCCTTCGTTCCAGCCAATTTTCCTTCCCTTCGTCCGCTCGTATTTAACAAACGACTCTTGAAAACAAGTGTCCCGAATAATTTTCATCGGTCTTGCTATTTTTAACCTCTGTTTTTTTTATGTTACGTTACGTTTGTTTGAACAGGACCTCTTTCGCCGGATTTCTTTTATTCCCTTTTCGGTCTCTATACTCCGGCGACGAACGAAAAAGCACAGTTTATTGACAAAATAAGCATATGCAAATGTGTCGTGAATCGTCGACCGCGGCGTGATTTGTCTGAAAACTTCCTGCCCCCGGAGTCGTTCGTTCCGCCTATAAATCACGTCGCGAATTTCAGCCACATCGCGTGATCGTTGATCGATAAATTAACGAGCCACTTAGCTTCCGGGAAAAGACAGGGAAAATTTGAATGTCCCTGCCTCTTCCCCTATTCGTTCCTCTATTGCTATATACATATATATACGTATAAAGTAAAGTATTTCTGATATTTATAGAACAACCCCTGTCATTTCTTCTTCTAATCAGTCTGATCGTACAGTTCTTTTCTGTTTTTTTTTTTTTTTATTTTTCAACCGCCTAACCTATATTTTGAAAGTTGTTGCAATTTTTGGGATTTCTTTTTTCGCCCTGTTTTCAATGGTTTTGCGAACGTGCGCCTAACTTAATCTACCCTCGAAACATGCCTGAATTTCGAAGTTTTCCAATGTTTCACGATTTTTAATTGATGTATCGACGATGATCGAGGACCCGGATAAGCGATGGCCGGCCAATCGAGGCACGGTCGTATGTTATTGTCTGATAAGAGACACCGAGCGGCTGTTAAATAATTCCCGATTGGCCGCCGTGGACTCCGAAGAGCCATGAAATTTCGTGGACGGTGTAAGTTTCCGCGCGAGTGAGGCTCGTGTGTGCCTTCAGCTTATTTCATAAATAATTAACATCCTAGATAATGGCTCGGTCGTCGAGGCCCCGATCAGCCAGATACCAGGCAACGTTATCAAACCGCTACACCCTTCTCTTCCTAACCTTATACGCCGCTAGATAAAATTATAAGTTCACCACGTGTTTGGCTTGTTCATTGTCACGGTTTCCTTTTGCAGGATCACGTAAAAACACGCGAACGACAACGACGCGAAGAAACAAGACTTTCCAGGATTTTGCGTAAACAACGAATTATTACTCTCTTTAAGGAAAATGCTGTTTGCCAGTTTGGACAAAAGTATAAGTTCACTTATAAAAACCCATTTATTTAACCCTTTGACTACGAAAGGCGTGCACATACGCTCTCACAGATTTATCAATATATACGAAAGACGTTCTACATTTATCTACACGTTTCTTACTGTGACACCTCATTTTATTCTTCTATTTCGGTTAATAAGGCTAGACATTGGGCTACATTGATGATTCTGTGCGAGAGTGCGCCGCAGTCAAAGGGTTAATACTTTTAGCGAACGATCAATTATCAATTATAAACAAGATTCGTTAGTTGGAAAATTGTGTCGGTAAGTTTTTCTATAAAATTCCAATGAATTTCTTTATGAACGTAATTAAAACTACTTCGGTCATCGAAAAAGTTTATCGAGACGCACGTGCGTTTTCCAACTAATTAATCGTAATGGAGCAACAACCGATTACTGAAAACAACTTTTACCGTAATTAGTTATCAAATAAGTGGTTTTTTTTCATAGGGGAACTTATACTTTTGCCCAACTGGCAAACAGCATTTTCTTTTTAAACGAGTAAATATTTCAGTGTTTATCTACATAGTGCAAAATTAGTTTCTTTATCGTTACAGGAGAACAACAATAGCTCTGACCGTGTCAATAGATAAAGCTAAACACGGTAAACGTATAATTTAGTACAGTGGTTTACAATAAGGGGATTTCATTTTCAGCCTGGCAACACTTCCAGTGTTCTGTCTAGTCCTGTGCAACATCTCGTTTAGGGAAAC